AAAAGTACTCCTGTTTGATTCGTAATAACATCTAAACAAGTATAGCTTTTAAAGAGAAATAACTTGCATCAAATAGAGGAAGGACTAACTTAGACTTTGATATATTACAGTTGTATTTCACTTAAAAATTCACGGAGATATTAATCTTTAAATTCGGGAGGATATTTCTGGATGTGTCTGAAATATGCAAAAATCGGCGTATCAAATATTAATCAAGATTTGCCCGACTGAAACATGCACTATTACCAGTAAATAAATGACACTTGACAAATTGTTTATTATGAAACAAAGTATTATTATATCTACAAAATACAAGCAAGATTCATTCGTCCGAAATTCGCGTGTGTTCCTAGCACGAATACGTTTCCTTATTTCATGAGACCACTGCATCGCGAAGGATCGTCATTGGATCGTTCGTAGTTCTGAATTAGGGCATGCTGTCACAACGGAATTGTGAAGCTCTTCTAACTTCTGCAACGTTCTGAAATCTTGTTAAGAACACCCAAACTCTTTTGCCGTTTCTTAATCTTGGCAAGTTCATGGAGTAAACTGAGAATTATATGAAACACAATCAAACCATACAACTCCATAAGACATAACAATTAAGCAACTCCCCAGAGACATGCAACATTTTTGGAACAAAACGTAACAAAATAGTAGCGTTGATACGGTGATGTGTATTTTCAAAAAGCAATATATTATTTCCTTCAATAAAGAATATTCATCCTGCTCTAACCGAGAAATAATCTACTCAGTCTGTTTGAACCCATTAAAAACATAAAAAAATTAGGCTATTTAAGAATACGAAAAATTTAAGCGCCTGCCTTCCATGGTCAGTCTTTCATGTACATTTAAGTTTGCAAAGACCTAATATTAAATACTTGCATAATTTCGAACGTTCATATTTCAGGAAACAATGAGCTAAGACTTACATGTAAGATGTCTAAATCTACGCCATATCCCTTACAAACCTTAACTATAATTCGCTGAAATACAAGTTAGCCTAATATGTCATTAAGCAAACAAACGCTGGAGTTAATATTTGATATGCCGATTTTCGCTAATTTTAGACACATTCCAAAATATGCTCCCCATTTTTAACATTAATATATCCGTGAATTTTTAAGTTAAATACAACTGTAATATATCAACATCTAAGTTAGTCCTTCCTCTATTTAATGCAAGTTATTTCTCTTTAAAAACTTTACTTGTTTAGAAGTTATTACGAATCAAACAGGAGTACTTTTTTTTGGGCCACCTGGTATATATATATATATATATATATATATATATATATATATATATATATATATATATATATATATATATATATATATATATATATATATATATATATATATATATATATATATATATATATATATATATATATATATATATATATTACTAACGCATGCACACTTGTAATTTAATAATAATTCATTCCGCGTTACCCGTCGAAGACTACAGTTAGGTAGTCGAAAGCTCGTTTTAAATAAAATTTTATAGAGAGAACGTTTATGTTCTTAATTATGTCTAAACCTGGCTACGCTATCTCCATATTTTCTCGTATTCGCCGTGAGGCAGGGCGGAAGGCCGTAAGATTAGCAGGACGCTTAGAAAAAAGTACCTACAAAATTTAATTAGAAGCTCATCACCGCCACCTACATTATATATACGCATCAAGACATTACTAACTGCTGATTGCCAAAATCATTACGTTTCAAAGCTCCAAGTCAACATCCTATCTTCAAGCACATTATGGAAAGAGCTAGCAATCATTGTATGAGAGCTAGAATAACGATTTGACACGACCAAATAAAGAACCTGAAGATTTCTATCAGAGAAACCAAGAACAACTTGGCCTTCGCTCTCCAACCTGACACATATAATGATTTTTCACAATTCCCGACCAGACTAGCTCTTTCTGTCGGTAAGAATATTAATGAAAGACTTTCCAAGAAACTTAATAACCTAGCCATTGAATACCGCATTTCCAACAACGTGGATAAATCGAAATGGGTGGTAAACATCTCGTCAAGATCGCTTAATAAGACCGGGTTCGAAGTCCTGCAAAAAGGCCCAAAGTTTGCACCAGCCCATCCGAAATTCCATACAAAGAAATTGTCGCCAACATTGAAGCTGGTATTGATAACCTAAATGATGACTCGAAAGAAACCATACGTAATGCAACTGCGAGTATCCTTGACAAGGCTCAGCTCCCTGCTAATAACGTTAGCAAGCAAGAAAAAAGAGCCCTAGCCGTTCTGAAGAAAGACGACTCGATAATAATAACTAAAGCTGACAAAGGTAACTGCTTCGTTGTGATGGACCGTCGGGACTATGATGAGAAAATGCAGGGTCTACTTGATGATATTACAACGTATGAAACAGTAAAGAAAAATTCATTTGGTCGTGTTGAAAAAGAACTGAACTCTAGATTGTTATCTTTGAAGAAAGAAGGGAAACTTGATGATAGAACTTACAATTCGGCTACACTCGACTGACGGTTTACCACCTACAATTCTGGGCTCTGTGAAACACCATGAGGAAGGCTACCCTCTGCGGCCTATTATCAATGGCATTGGTTCAGCTCTTTACAACACCTCAAAATACCTCACAACTATACTCTCTCCCATCCAGAACAACTGTGTTAAAAACTCCACCGAATTCGCGCTAGAAATTAAAAACATGAAGATTGATGATGATGAGGTCATGGGTTTGACGACAGTTTCTCGATCATTAAAAAGACCGCTATTTCGACATTTCACAGTACTTTGAAGAACATTGACCGTAACATCTCTTTCAATATTGAACTTGCATGAACAGGACAATCAAATCTCATTTCTAAATGCACTTATAACGCGACATGGTAACAACCTGGAAGTTAACGTATACAGGAAAATTACGCACACAGACAGATATCTACATTTCAACTCTCACCACGACATTAAACACAAAATTAGCACAGTTCGAACCCTTCTACATAGGGCACAAACTTTACCAACCAAACACACAAGCAAACAAACAAGACGAACTCAGTCACATAACAACAACTCTAAAATGTAATGGAAATCCCGACAAAATTATAAAACAAACGCTAAATGATTTGACTGCTAACAAACGTGAACAATACCTTGACGAAATTGTGGGCCAATTTTTCAAAGGCGTTACTCAAGATGACAAACCATAAGGACATGTGACTCCACCATACATTAGTGGAATAACTGATGCACTACGACGTATATTACAAAAACAGAACATTAGGGTAACGACTAGACCTTTAAAAACATTACAAAGAATCTTTCCTACTCCTAAACATCAAGTTCCACCTGAACAACGTATCAACGTCGTATATAATATACCTTGCTCTGACTGCTCGTGGTCATATGTTGGCGAAACTGGAAGATCATTTGGAACCCGAATATTAATATTAGTAAATTTTGGTCGCCATCTTGTTTCGCTCGCCCCAGTTCAAGTGCATTAGCCTATATCGGCGAATGTCGAGAACTTTTAACGTCATCCTCTTGGGTAGCAAAGACCCTGGTAGACGCTGGTCACGTGATCTGCTAAAATCTAGCAGATTTTTAATTAGCAATCCAAGATCAGGTCAAATAAACATTTGATATTGGGATTATATTGATAGTTTAATTTATAATTTGCATTTTGTATGATTGTCGTAAAGAAAACCAAGATAGTTAATTAATAGTCTGCTAGATTTTAGCAGATCACGTGACCAGCGTCTTTGCTCCCCAAGAGGAAAGACCCTGAGTACGAGGTTATTTTAACGTTCTTCTGAAAAACGAGAGAGGTCTTTTTTGATTGAAGGGAAATTCCCAGGTGTAAATGTTTATTCGAGCTAAAATAGCACATCGCATTATTAAAAATAATGCAGCGTGCACATGCACACGCGATAACGTGAACATCTCAGGATGAGAAGTTGACAGTGCTAAAGGCCCCTCATACAATATCATCGGGCGCCTGAAACACTGCCAAAAACGGTCACTGTGAGTCGTTTCAGTTCAACATTATAGAGAAATAGTTTCGTTTGCGCTTGTGGGATTTTATCCTAGATAGGCGCAAGTGCAGAACACACCATAAGTTCTATTCCCGTGTTTATCCAGTTTACGCACTTTGAATTAACCTTATCATTAATGATAATATGTAAACTAGGACACTATAATTGACCTCCGCTTGTGGAGATTTTAATTTAGGGCGATTAATTAAACTGGAATCTGTTCTATCACGACGCATTACAGTGCCTATGGTTATGTCTATATGGATGTCCTCACAAATGTCTAGTGTAACGTTGGATAGATTGATTGTCATACGGTCACGACAAGCAGCAACGTAGTCTTCCAGCCGAAAATAATTATCACTTAGTTACTGAGACCGAGGAAAACAGTGTGTTTGGTGGACCCGAGACCGTCGATGTTTCCCGAGGGGAAGCCGAGGGAAACATCGACGTTCGAGGGTCCACAAAACACACTGCTTTCCCGAGGTCCCAGTAAATAAGTCATTTATTATATATCAATAGTCAAAGAAACAACAAATGAAAGACCAAAATGAACGTAAATACATGAAATAATTTGTTGTTAAAACGTTAAATTAAACAGTGCAGTTACTCAAAGCGAAAGTTTAAATTACTAGGCATGCCAAAGGCTGCAACTTCACGTGATGGCGCACGTGATTTTTTTCGTTATTCGCCGGTCGATTCGCGCTGTTGCGAGGGAGACAGTCTAATTTCGTCCCTCTCACGTGATATGCTCTCGACCAATAAAACACTAGAAAAATGCGACTTGGACTATTGGTATATATTAATTACTTTTGATTCGGGTTAGTAATTATAATAGATAATTACTGAGGCCAATTGGCATTATTGGATATATTGCAGCCAGCTGAGGCCTTCGGCCTCAGCTGGCTGCAATATATCAAATAATGCCGTTGACCACAGTAATTATCTAATAAATAACAACTAAATGCAGAGTACAACCACATACCTAAATTGTCCATTAGCTCTTTTACAGGTCCACTAATTGTTTCTCGTGATTTTTCTTCGTAATTACACGACCCACCGTCTTGCTGCTTTATTTTCTCAGACTTTAGTTCGGGGTCGTTTGCGTTTGTTTCAGTTACAAAGCTTTCGAGCGGTACTGAATGACCAACAGCTCCATCGGTAAGCAATTCATCTGATTCTTCCATGATGCGAGAATACAGAACCACCGGGAAACGCTAAATAGAAAGAAACATGTAAAGCCAGGATTTGGGCCTGAATTAATTGTCTCAACAAAAATGAAGTGTCTGGAAAGAGCTAGCTTTCTTAGCTGTAATAAATATATACACGCCTGTTTGTGAAGATTACGTGTTCACACAATAGACCTGTATTCAAATGGCATTCCGGCACAGATGCATCTCAATGTATTTCACGGTAAAAATCGCTAACTATGAGTAAAGCTCAATTGTAATAACACGAATTTTGGCCGCCTATAACTAAGATAATATTTAGGGAAATAATATTCCCGAAAGTGTAGAACATTTTTACAACCGCGATCAGTCAATACGGTTTCTTTCGATCCTGAACGGCCGAGTTCACCGTTAGAGGATATATATTAACATGGTCTTATAATATTTCTTACCTTACTGACTATTGAAGAAAAAAAATCCTCTATATTCAGAATGGAGCTATTGTAAGGTACTTTCGCGTCGCATACCTTAACTTTAACTATCAGTACGTGCTGTAAGCTAGTTTGCATATATTTTTAGATTACATACGTATATTATTGTATACGGGGCTATTAAATTGTGTAATTATATGCAATTAGCATTTAGAAATCAGTCAAATGCACTCGACCATGAAATCAACATCTAATAGGCAATGGTCTATTATATCATATAGTACACCAAGACGCTGTTACACCGTGCAATATTTTCCGCAACAATAATCTTGCAACCCATGCAAGCATGTTAAATTATAAGTAATAAAATATTCGCAACGTTTTCAATCTCTCAATCTAGAAAATTTGGTGCGTATGCAGGGGAAACAAAGGACGCTTATTAACATTGTGTACAAAGAATACTATAATGAGAATAATTGTAGTTGCTTTTGTTTGTTAGTTTGTTTGAAGTCTCATTTTGTCTAGTTATTTTTATCCTGCGTATAAAAGAGTTTGATTGTGCTGAGGATACATGGTCGGTATTTCGTATCTTTATACTCTGCAACGTATGAAGGATTCATAATGTTAGCTTATATTAATTGCGATGGCGTAGGAAGTATAAACAACTGAATGCAATCCGTGCAGGCTGTCACTCTCCCTTTGAGAGCATGTTAGCAAGATAGTCCCCACAATATAGTTAGACGGAAATATGCAAGCTACGTTGGCTAAAAATTACTGCTATGGATAATTAAAGCAGGACAAGGTAGCCAAATGTATCTAGGTAGACTTAATTAAACCATCTTTGGTAATCTGATGCTTGCTAAGTGGCCTATATTTGCCCTTATATCACACTTGCGTCGGTTTTCTTTGTTCGTCCGAGGTTTACAACTAGCTTATAGACCTTGAATAAATGATTGGATTAAACTTGTAGACAAAACGCGAGAATTTTTCATTAAAATTTTTTGAAAATGACAAAATATGTTGCAAAACCTCGGCAAGTGTGATATAAGTTAGTTATAAACCCAGTAAGTCGGTTTATAACTGATATATTGCCCCTCGGACGCTACGCGTCCTCGGGTCAATATATCAGTTATAAACCTCCTACTCGGTTTATAACTCTTACATGCAAGTAATTTTTGCAGCTAACCACTCGAATGAAATTAATGTTGTAACTATATCTAAATTATATTCCATCTTACCTTGATGTTTATGATTTCGGTTAATATTCCGACACTGCTGTGCCTCTGTGACAATTCACTGTTGAAATGAAGCGAGGGTTTCAGAGTTAATGATTTGAAATTTTAGCATGCGTAGGAATGACGCTCATACAACGTGCAAGCATTTACATAAGGGTATAAACCATTTTGGTATAATCTAATGCCTGCTAAGTGGCCTAGAGTTGCCCATGCAAGTAATTTTTGCAGCACGAATGAAATGTTGCAGTAACTATCTAAATTATATTCCATCTTACCTTGATGCAACGATGTATAGCAACAAGTGCAGCTAAAATGCAGACGTATAGTGCAAAGACGTATAGCAAAAAACAGATGTATAGTACAAAGTGCCGCTAAAAGCAGACGCACATAAAGTGCACTTGTGCCATATTATTATGCGGCATAATTAATATATCTTTTATAGCCTCTAAAATTTCACGCAATGCCATGTATTGATGTATAGCTGTATTCGCAGACAATATTTTAGGAATTCATCTTGTTCCCCCAATGTTTTATAAAGTCATAAGTCACGAAGCATGTAATATCGCACGATGTGCGTGCGCAAATACAAGTATAGATATACTGTAAACAACACCGCGGAAAAACGTCCGCGCATGCGTCAACCTTACCTGTAATAGTATTGCGAACTTGATGAGAAGCTGTTCCGAACGTTTCCGAAGGCTCAAAATGGCGGTAAAAAGGAGTGACTTCATTGTGCGTCTTTACAGCCAGATTTCAAGCGCAAAAATAAACATATTCTAAAAACTAGAAATAAATACAGCCAGAAGGTTCAAGAAATTGTATTGTACAAGAACATGAACTAAAGGTGATTGTTGACAAATTTATTGTCTGAAACATTTTGTTTATCAACTAAGCAATGACAATTTCCGAATTTTCGTTTGAGATACATTTCTTTAAAAAAAACTGTGTCGCCAAATATAAAAAATTTGCGTGTTCACAGTAATTAAACTTTAGGATTTATTCTACAATTTGAGTGGGTTAAGAAGCTTAACTTTTCGAGAGTTTTCTTAACATTTTAGTTTGAATTTTTGTTTTGAATAATTTTGCAAAAATTTTCGAAGTCGTGTCCGTTAAAATCAACATTTTTTTACATGAATTATATTTCATTCCATACTTTAAATGCCAGGACGCTTTCAATTGATGTCTAGTCTACCCATTTGCTATATTTTCTCGTTTGTTTTACTAATATTTGACCAATTAATAAGCATGTTTTTGTTTAAGAAATTGATATTCAAATTCCCCGCCATATTTTCATAATTTGGTGCACGCACAGACGTTTTTCCGCGGTGTTACTGTAAACATGATTGAACCACAATATCGAATGTTTATTCAACGTTAATAATTGACACAAACAGCCCTGATACGTTTCCAACATTCGAACAGATAAGACGTAGTTAAGTGCCTGTTAATTTAAGTGACTAGGACTTCGTAAGTTGAACATCCGTTTTACCAGTTTTCCGCGGTTTTGGGATAAAACGCGGAACCGGAATGCGGATTCCGTAAGGGGATTCCGGATGCGGATTCCGCATTTGAGGATAAAACGCGGATTCCGGAAGCGGATTCCGCAACTGAGGATAAAACGCGGATTCCGCATTTGAGGATAAAACGCGTATTCCGGAAGCGGATTCCGCAAATGAGGATAAAACGCGGAATTGCGTAAAAAGGACGAGAAGAAGAATAGCGTATAAAAAACTTAAACTATTACTTTTTAAGGTCACAACCACTAAAAAGCGATTGGCTAAAGTTACCTAGTTATCCTAGGCCTAACTGTTGAAGTCATACATGCATTCATTAGTCTTGGTGACTTTTTGGACTATTTCTTAAAATTATGGAGGGAGGTGGAAAATCGTATTTATCAAGAGCGTCTTCATTTTTATCTAAGTTACTTTGTTAATGCTAGTAATATTCGGGCTTTGATGGCGCAGGCGTCAGAGGAAGCGCCTTTCACCTCTGAGATCGTGGTTTCGATTCTCGCTACGGATTCGATGTGAAAAGAGTCTGTCAACGCTCCGCCAAAAGTCGTGAGTTTTCTCCGGGTGCAAATAGAGCAGGAATCAATTCAAAGTAGCTAAAATTACGACTTATACGCAAGACATATAACGCTTGTTGGGAACAGATTAACATGAACTTTGTGTCGGATTACTAGGTGTTTATGCATTTTTTTGTCGGATTGCTAGGTGTTGTACGCATTGTAATTAAGGTGTCCTTTAATTTAATTGCGTATCAACATTCCTTTAGTAGTTGCCGCCCGGCCATATCCTGCTGCGTTCCAGACTTTAGTTGAAGTTCGAACGCATAATATGAAAAATATCGGTTAAATATTCAGTTGGACATTTGATCGCTTACACGCGTTTTGCTAAAACAGAAATTATTTTAGCAAAAGCAGTGTCTGAGGGGAAAAATGGACATTTGAATTGATTTCTTAATTTCTGCTCTACTTGAATTGATCAAGTTACAAATTGATTCATATAAATACAATCAATAACTACAACCACGATCATCAAGTTGAATTTTTCAGTTTGTATTGTATGGCGCTAATATGTGACTTGCGCGACAATATTAACACCGTATTATTAAATTGCAATGGAATTTAAATTCGGCTGATACTGATCATCAGTGTGTAATAGCGCATTTGTTTTATCAAAAATCATGATTTTCCAAGTTTACCGTTTGCGCTAATAAATGGACTAAAACCCAAGTTATCATATACGCAAAACGCTTTTGCCATTCACGCTTCATTGTTTACGTCCAATTAAGACTTCTAAAACTAAACTAAAGAAACATTTAGCTACATAGGACACTCTACTGAACTGATAGGATACGCAGTATTACTTTAAAAAATACTTTACTAAATACTTTATAAATAATATAAATTACTTTTTATACGAAATTTATATTACTTTAAAAAACTCATTAATAATTCAGGAGGAAAATCATCTTAAAAAAAAAATCACCTTTGTGAGGGTGAAAATCACCTTTGTGAGGGTTTGGTAGAAAATGCGGGTTGAGGGTAGATTTTTTTGCGAGATCAAGAGGAGAAAAAAATCAACCCGCATTTTCTACCAAACCCTCACAAAGGTGATTTTCACCCTCACAAAGGTGATTTTTTTTTAAGGTGATTTTCCTCCTGAATTATTAATGATTTTTTAAAGTAATATAAATTTCGTATAAAAAGTAATTTATATTATTTATAAAGTATTTAGTAAAGTATTTTTTAAAGTAATATTGCGCATCCTATCTGACCTATCAGTTCAGTAGGATGTCTTATGTAGCTAAATGTTTCTTTAGTTTAGTTTTAGAAGTCTTAGTCGGACGTAAACAATGAAGCGTGAATGGCAAAAGCGTCTTGCGTATATGATAACTTGGGTTTTAGTCTATTTATTAGTGAAACGGTAAGCTTGGAAAATCATGATTTTTGATAAAACAAATGCGCTATTACACACTGATGATCAGTATCAGCCGAATTTAAATTCCACTGCAATTTGATAATACGGTGTTAATATTGTCGCGCAAGTCACATATTAGCGCCATACAATACAAACTGAAAAATTCAACTTGATGATCGTGGTTGTAGTTATTGATTGTATTTATATGAATCAATTTGTAACTTGATTAATTCAAGTAGAGCAGAAATTAAGAAATCAATTCAAATTTTCATTTTTTCCCTCAGACATTGCTTTTGCCAAAATAATTTCTGTTTTTAGCAAACGCGTGTAAGCGATCAAATGTCCAACTGAATATTTAACCGATATTTTTCATATTATGCGTTCTAACTTCAAACTAAAGTCTGGAACGCAGCAGGATATGGCCGGGCGGCAACTACTAAAGGAATGTTGATACGCAATTAAATTAAAAGAATTAATTACAATGCGTACAACACCTAGCAATCCGACAAAAATCATGCATAAACACCTAGTAATCCGACACAAAGTTCATGTTAATCTGTTCCCAACAAGCGTTATATGTCTTGCGTATAAGTCGTAATTTTAGCTACTTTGAATTGATTTCTGCTCTATTTGCACCCGGAGAAAACTCACGACTTTTGGCGGAGCGTTGACAGACTCTTTTCACATCGAATCCGTAGCAAGAATCGAACCTAGGATCTCAGAGGTGAAAGGCGCTTCCTCTGACGCCTGCACCATCAAAGCCCGAATATTACTAGCATTAACAAAGAAACTTAGATAAAAATGAAGATAAATACGATTTTTCGCCTCCCTCCATAATTTTAAGAAATAGTCCAAAAAGTCACAGTCCCCCCCCTCCCAACACTAATGCATGCATGTATGACTTCAACAGTTAGGCCTAGAGTAACTAGGTAACTTTAGCCAATCGCTTTTTAGTGGTTGTGACCTTAAAAAGTAATAATTTAAGTTTTTTACACGCTATTCTTCTTCTCGTCCTTTTTTACGCAATTCCGCGTTTTATCCTCATTTGCGGAATCCGCATCCGGAATCCGCGTTTTATCCTCAAATGCGGAATCCGCGTTTTATCCTCAAATCCGGAATCCGCGTTTTATCCTCATTTGCGGAATCCGCATCCGGAATCCGCTTCCGGAATTAGCGTTTTATTCTCAAATGCGGAATCCGCATCCGGAATCCGCTTACGGAATCCGCATTCCGGTTCCGCGTTTTAACCAAACCCTTAATCCACGCATAATCCACGCGTGTTCATATCTGTGTCGATTAATCTTTAATCGGCACACCTGCATGTGCGATTAATGTTTAACCGGCACAGTTTTTAACCAATCAGAATCGAGTAAATTGACTAAAATGATATTAGCAATTCCATCACGAAGTCCATAGTATACCCATATTATTTTCATACTATTTCCATAGTATGAATGTTGCAATTAGTATAGGGTAATCCACGGGCTTTAGGACAAATTCAGTTCGACAATAATAGTATTCTATCTAAATAGCAGTTAAAATAAAGTGTACGGCACCTGAACTGTTCAATATCTTGCCTCTGTATCCATAAGACATTTACATATATGCAAGTACTGTATACTTTCAAAATCCGCCATATTTATTATTTTTTTTTATTATTATTATTACAATATTGCCTGCTCCCAAAAGGGCTTTTCAGCAGGTATTTAGCTAATTCAATTAAGGTTGTCCCCCGAGCAAAGCGAGAAAACGAATACAAGCGCGAAAGGCTGCTTGGAATCGTTAATAAATGAATGAATTTATTAGCGATTCCCAGCAGCCTTTCACGCTCGAATTCGACTTTTCCGCTTTACTCGGGGGACAACCTTAATTGAAATAGCTGTATACACGCTTTATAATAAACATTCGCGAACCACCGCAACTTATCGTTAATAGCTACTATAATTTTTCATCCAGATAATTTTTTTGGGTTTATTAGAGTAATATAATCTTGCTATAGTTTAAAACATTGTCGCTCAGAGTGTGCTGTATGACAACCACACGAGAAATCTATTTTATAAATGTACAGTAAACCGCTGATATTTATGAACAAAAACGTTTTACAATAAAATGAGAGTCTTGTTGTGCGGTCGGGTTTCTCTCTTGCGAAAGCTGCAATTTATACTGCCAACTACATTTTTCCTTTATGTAATAACATTGTGGTCGGAATTTTACCTGTATATTTTCAAATCTAAACAAATAAAGCAAATCACAGTTCTGAGTTTTTCAGCACATACTTTACGTTTTATATATATGAACGAGTATTTATGGTTTTTCCGTGTGATAATGACCTATCCTCCCTGAGTCTCATAATTTAGCCGTCCAAAATCTGGGCGCCACCTGACGAGCCTATGTCAGGGTTTTCGTTGCAGCGGGTTGGGGAGCGGATGTAAAAACTCTGAGTTTTGGTTGGTTTTGAAATTGGATTTCCCTACTATTTCAGCGAAGATCCATACTTTGTCCATAGTAAGGATTTTGAAAAAAAATTCCAATGTTATGCCATGAATATTTCACTTATAATCTAGAAATATATGCATAACCTCTCGTCTCCCCATCCAAATAACTAATGGTAGCCATCTTTGCGTTAGGAAACGCGCGAACTCGTCAAGTAACATGAGTTTTCACGCTAATACGATAATTTTTCTTAGTTTTTTACAAAATAATGGCACAAATAATTAATAGATTAGTGCTTTTTATTCAAGCTTCGACTCTCCGGGAAACGTTTTGAAACGTTCATTAAACATTTACTGCTTTTGGCTATAAATTATTCAAAGTATTGCTAGTTTAAATCAGTTGAAGTGCTGCAATACGATCAACAAAGAAATTACTCCCCTTTTCATTTTAAGATTTTGCTAATATAGAATAGGCAAATAATTAGAATAAAAGAATAGCCTGTGTGCAGTCCCAGACACCCGAAGGAAATAAATGCATGGGGATTACGCAACTTCGAACCAGCCAACATATACAAAAAATGTATATCGCATTATAGAATATATTAATAAAATAGACATAAAACTACAACAAATACAGAAAGATATATACGATACAAGTATTGAATAAGGTAAGGAATAGAAGTACTGTCAAGGTGGAATGACTGTCAGTGCATGCTAACCAGCCTGTTTCCAAACATTTTAATAGTGGCAATCACAGTGTTTCAGATATGGAAATTGGAACCCACGAAATGCGCTTCATATCCAAACTTCGCACTGTCAACCCCTTATGGCGTTAATGAACGTTTTTCCCTTTTTAGTTTTATGCAATTGGCCCTGGTAGTTCGTTATTTTTAATCACGTTGTTGAAACGTAGGTTTATAAATTAAATCTTGTTTGTGCGAAACTTTTCTTTTAGGTGGAAAGAAATATTTATCGTCTGTACCATCTTATCGGACCCGGTTCAACAGTAAGTGTACTTGTTACAGCTTGTAAGTTAGGAATTAATATTATATTTACAAGACATTTCCCTCAACTAACTAAATGTACGTTTCATATAATTGAAGGTGGGAATAGTTGCCCTCCCAAACATTTGAATTTAAGACTTAATGTGGCACGATATATTTATCCACACAAAATTCTTTATTAAAAATTCGTGTCCGCTAGAAAAATAACGACTTACTTATATGACATGACGCGTCACGATTTGCTCACCCTGTCTCGCGCCAAAAAACAGTGCGCTATACCTTATTATTGTGTCTCTGGTGCAGGAATACGTTGAAATTGTGCTCGCCGTATGGTACCGCAATGACTTTTCCATACACCAAATAAAAAAATCTATAATGTCAAAAACTTTTTTTATCGAAGAAAACGACACATTTTATTTCAGAATTATGTTTTCGCATCCACTGATTTTGGTTCACTTATCTCGAACGAGTATTCGGCCATATTTTTGTTTGGAAAAATAATATTTAAATTATTCACCATTCTTTAGGCCCAGTGCATGCGCAGATAATTTAATTTACCATTCTTTCATGTCCAGTGCATACGACGCATCAACGCTCGTTTCTAATTCGAACAACCAGGGTGTTGAACAGCCTAGCTGACGAACTAACACGATAAATTTGAACTCATTTAAATCTACAATTCTAAGTTATTACTTCCGTGCTTTGGAAATTTCCTACGATCCTGAAAATCCAAGAACATTCAAAACTATATCTACCAAGTGTAATACCGCTCGAACTTTGGTTCAGCCTCTTAAGTGCTGCTATTATAGTTATAGTTTTATTTAGATAGTTTCTTTATGCTTGTATATGTCCTAATTCGGGCGCGCAGTAATTGGCTCACGCTGTTGCGTCACACAGCCTATATAGTCATGTATATTATTCTTGTTCTTGTTATAGTTTTGTGTTTTGTAACATGGCGAAACTAATAAATAAATAAATAAATAAAATAAATAGATATTTCCCCCGTTGTTTTGATAAAGCGCCTGCTTTCCTTGCATGGAAAAATATCATGCGCGGACGGCAAGAGGTGGAATGCCGGAAAAAATGTGTAATAAAATTTATGACTTCGTTCCTATAAGATTGGTAATTAAATTCCATTTTTCTATGTAGGCACTCCAAATCATTATGGGAAACATTTCATTACTGGGTTTACAGCTCAGAATAATAATTATCGAGATCAGGACTACATTGGATTGTCAATGCTTGCCCCCTACGACACAAACGTTACGATCTTTGGTACTCTGTCAAGCAAGCCTTGGAACTACACTGTTCATATTAAAGAAGGAGAAAGTTATGAGTATAAACTGCCGATTTCACTGCGAATGGAGAAATCAAAATACCGGCAGAATGGTATTCAAATTTTATCAACTAGAGACATTTCAGTATTCTGTTTAAATCAGCAAGGTTATAGACAGGCAGCGGATGGATACTTGGCTTTACCGACCAACACGCTAGGTTTAGTTTATGTTGCTGCATCATATCAACCGTATAGTACGAGCTATAGAGCAAATATCGCCGTAATATCAGCACATAACAACAACACGATTATTGTTCTTCCCAACAAGAACGCGGTCATATACTATCGCGGTCTCTGGTATGATGACAGTACATCGCTATTATACATAACCCTAGTCCTTGAAAAACTTGAAGCACTGTACATTTCGGGTTCATCAGATTTATCTGGAACAATTGTTATCGCAAGTAAACCAGTGACGGTTATTTCAGGCGTAGACTATGCACGTATTCTGGGATCGTCTGATTTCTTAGAAGCGTTCCTTTTACCTGTTTCATCGTGGGGATATGAATACATATTGACAACGGTAGGAGCGATGGATAAAAATCAGGGGGATATTTTTCGTATCTTTGCGTATGAAAATAATACTGTTGTTGAAAGTGGGTACTGGACCAAAATGTTGTCATCCGGAGCATACACAGAGTTGATATTGCAAAAAAATCTTACATCGTTTGTTAAATGTAGCAACCCATGTCAAGTGGTGCAGTACGTCCGACGACACTATATTGGCGGGAAATATGCTGACCCTTCAATGATAGTTCTGCCATCAACAAGTCAGTTTCTTTCTTACTACCGCGTGATACTTCCTCGTGGTTCAGAATATCATGATTCCATTACTATAATGATACAAAATGAAGATATAGAAGGTCTATATATGAATGGATTAAAACTGAATGGCTTACGATGGGAAAGGATCAATGGAACAAATTATGTATGGACGGTCGTAAGTTTATCCGATCCAAATACTGTCACAGTCTATCATACTTCTTCGGCTGTAAAGTTTGGTCTCCTTGTATTTGGCTGGAATAATGGTGTTTCCTATGCTTACTCTGGTGGATTTGGTTTACATAACAATGCAAATGGTAAGGTGCTTTACTGGTGGTAAATAAATTTTGAAATTTCGTTTAATAATTTTGTCTTGACACTTTTTAAAAGAGTGAATGTCAGTAAAAATCTAATATATGAGATATTTCCCGGCCACTACTGAAAAATCGATTTGGCGATAGTGGTATTTTCAGAATGGCGATAGTGGTATTTTCACAACACTTTGTGGTTAGGCTACTGGCTAAAGAAAGCTATTCAAAATCAATCGCCAGAATAATCTACTCTACAAGTTATTTTAAGAATATGCAAGCGCCGGAGTTGCTCATATCTTTAAGAGAGGATGTCCACAAAAATCAAACATAAGGCGGCCACGACTGAAAAATCGATTTTGCTCAAATTTTGCCCAGATATACCTTATTATATCGGAAAATCCACGATATATTTTATTAGGTCAAATGCTTTTTTAACTTTGCGAAAATGCCGTTTTAACACGAACACCCTAAATCGCCATTTTGTCTGGGAAAATATGCGCTGATTTTACCGGCAAATTTCACGACGACAACCGTTTCTAATCGATCAAAAACCCTAAAAATCGTGTTCTCTGTTATTCAAAGGAGCGGGTACGTGACTTACAGGATATCTGAGTTACTTTTAGGAATAGAAATAATCGTAGTTTTGGCGCGCACTATCTTACTTCATTTACGATACCCCCTTAACAAAACCGATTTTCACCATGGGATAAAGCTCCAAATGCTTCTACTTGTTGGCTCTTTAATAAACAGGCTTTCAATTGACGTAAATACTTCTTTGGGCAAATGAATACGCGATAAACGACAGCGCGTTGAAATCGTCCGTTTTTAATAATAATAATAATAATAACAGTCTTTATTCATACTCAAGAACACCCGTCTGTGAGTTTACATTATAAAAATATATAAGATAAAATTATTGATATCTATAAGGTAATAACTAGATATATACAGTTATGAATAAAAATATTAATAATGTTAAAAAGGTAAAGGTTAAAATTGGTTAAACAAAGTTAAACAAACATCGATTTACAAAAGAACTTTTAAATCGCTCTGTTTTCACTAATGGAAGTTCAAACTCGTGTCCCCTTGGCCTAAGGTGTCTATTTAATTTATCTGGTAAAAGCTCCTGTAGTGCATTATCTTTATTATGTATTACTTTTTCCCAAAGTTTCTTGTCCCTTTTGGTGCTTATCTCCTTAATATTCAATTTTTCCGATATGTAACCATTTCTGTGAGCGCGATTGATGAATTTGTCTATTTGACTGATGTATTTATTGAAGTATGCGCCTCCCCAAAGTTCTATGCCGTAAGTGATTATAGGCATAATTAAAGTGTTAAACAGCATGTCCAGTTGTTTGATTGGGAAGCCATAGTATTTACAGACACGCATTATGTACATTCTTGCGGTGGCTTTTTTCAACATTTCATCAAAATGCAAATCCCACTTGGAAGGGAGATCCTGTAATGTAATTCCTAAAATCTTTAACCACGTCCTTCGTTTAATAAATGGAAAAGGATCAGGCAACAGCGTAGGGATATTTCTCCTAACAATCATTTCATACGGCTTTTCCATATTTAAGGACATTCGATTATTTTCAGACCATGTTTGTATACTGTCCACTTCGGCTTGGGATGTATCTCCGTTTTCATTCCCTGGTACTTCTAATGTCATGTCATCCGCGAACTTAACTAACTGGTTTATGGAGTTAACTGTTTTGATGTCATTCACCATGATCGAAAAGAGGACAGGACCCAGAACTGTTCCTTGGGGAACACCTCGATTAATGTTCAAGTATTCAGTTTCTATTCCATCAACCACTACCCTCTGTTTCCTATCCTCCAAAAAACTAATCAGCCAATTAGTAACATATGGGTTGATGGGGAGCTTCTTAAGCTTCTCACATAAAATATCGTGTGGAACGCTATCGAATGCTTTACGAAAGCCAAAAGATAATACTCTGACATATTTTGCATCTCCTTCTAACCATCTTAACCATGTGTGTTGGCACTTGATCAGAGCCATAATCGAATTGTGACCTTCCTTGTATGCAAACTGATCTGAATCAATAGCGTGTCTTGTAACATGTGCTATCTCAGTTTTGAACACACTTCTTTCAAATAATCTCATTATAATATCTGTTAAAGAGATTGGTCTTAGTTGATTAAGAGAGTTTAAGATAGATTCTTTAGGTACTGGTAGTACATTTGCATGTTTCCACAATTTAGGAACTTTGCTAAGTTTCAATGAAGTGTTAAATATATTTGTTATGGTAGGAGCAAGCTCAAATGCAAATTCCTTCCAAAACCAGTAAGGTAGATCATCTGGCCCGGATGCTGTTCGTTTTAGATTTTGTAAAAGGTGTAGAGTAGTATTTATAGAGAGCGAAGAAACCCTGGTGCCATCAGGGATCTCGACAGGTTCTAGAGCCGCGTACTGAGGATCCGAGTTTATACTTTGAAAGTATACATTTATCTCACTAGGATCAAAGGCTGCACTGACAGATCGACTCCGATTATTTCTTCCTGTAATACTGTTCACATTGGACCACCACTGTTTTGAGCCGGTTTTCTGATTTTTGTTCTCTTGTTTGACGGCATTTAACTGGTTCTCTCGAATTAGCTTGTTTATCTGGTCTTGTAAACGAGCGTGAGATTCGGAATCGCTCTTCTGTATAGCTCTTTTCCTTTGCTTTAGCAAATGCTTTACAAGGGGTGACATAAACGGTGGGTCACGTGAAGAGGTTCTAACCTTAATTAGTGGGAAACACTTTTCAAATATCGGCCACATCGTTTCATAAAATTTCAGCGTCATTTCATCTGGAGTTTGCCCATCCTTGGTTATCATATTCCAGTCTACAGTTCCTAATTCATATAACATATTTATTTTCTTATGTTGTCTTACATCTCTAAAATAGGAATTTTTTCTTTCTGCTTTAATTACATCTCGGGGATAGGTTATTACCATATCATGATCAGATTTTACTAAGCTTTTCACTACTTTAACTTTTTTTCCAATCGTGAGGAGCGTTCGTAATGAAGACATCAAGTATATTTTGACCCCTTGTGGGAACTTTAACAAGTTGGATGAGCGACAGCTGATTGAGCAGATTTCGAATATTTAATTTATTGATATCACCCGCAATGATTATTCTGGAGTTTGGTTTAACAGATGATCAACGGTGTCAAAAGCTTTCTTTAAGTCCAAGAAGACGACACCGTTTAACATCCCTCTGTCAATGTTAAAGCACCAGTCATTATTCATATCTATTAGTGCAGTCATTGTTGAGTGAAGCAATCTAAATCCTGATTGCCGAGAATCAATTAAATTATTATGTGTAAGGTATGCATAGCTGGTCATAAATAAGTCTTTCAAACACTGTAGCAATACTAGTTAGGACAGATATAGGTCTATAATTGTCAGAAATATCTCGGTCTCCACTCTTAAAAATTGGAGAAATCTTGGCCTTTTTCAATTCAGCTGGGAAAATGCCTACCTTAATTGATAAATTAAATAACTAGTAAGGTGCAAGAAAATAAACGGCGCGGCGACTTTCAGTAATCTATTCGGGATATTATCTAAACCACATGCTTTTGTAGTTTTTAGTAATTTCAAAACTCTGTCTGAGTCTACATCATGTATTTTAAATGTTTCTTCCGACTGTTTTAAAAACATTTCAGGACGAACGTTGTGATTTTATGTTCCTACAGACGAAAGCTTGACGCCAATTTCATTTTCCATTTTATATATATATATATATATATATATATATATATATATATATATATATATATATATATATATATATATATATATATATATATATATATATATATATCTTAAATATATATATATATATATCTTATATATATATATATATATATATATATATATATATATATATATATATATATATATATATATATATATATATATATATATGTATATATGTATATATATAATAATTAAAATTAAAAATCATTGCATTTTTCAACCAGTTGAATAATGAATTTAAGAAACATTTATATATATAAGTTAATTAGTAAGTTTCATGCTGACTGCTGGGATAATTATAGAAACCTAGAACAAATTTCATCTTACCACCTTATTTTTGGTTTTCAGCTATACAATTTTTTCAATAATACGCCTGGGTTTAAGGACATAGAGATTCTCGGATTCGCGTGAGTATAAAAAGTTGGAATCTATCTATATAGGGCCTAGTATATATATTTTTCTCTGGATATGATTCTCACATTCATAAGTACAATAAGGTATATACCTGTTCTGGCAATCAAATTATGCACATGATTACATTGTGCCATTTTCTGTTCATTTTATTTAATAAATATTATAAAATATATATAGTTCCTACATTAAAAAGTTTAATAACAAAAAGGTCATCAAGTTTAGATTAGTGTCAGATTAGGATTTGATTAGGGTTAGATTAAGATTATATTGCGGTTAGGGGTTAGAGTTGGGGTTAGATTAAGGTTATAGGTTCATCTATCCCAATAAGTTATTGCGCGAATTTATTGTATTGATAATTTCGGACGTGTTTAACAATTTACTCATATATAGTAAATTCAAAGTTCGAGATCATGCTGCATCTTAATTTAACCCAGTATCAAGTTCATTAAACTTAGATGTAAGATTTGATCGAAAGGTTGTTTCTTTTTTTATCCTTTTCATTTGTATCAGAATATAATTCTTCTATATCGTCTTTTTGTAATTAGTTTAGAACAAAAACATATACTATTAATCGTAGAGCAAATGTAAGTGAAATTAAAATTGTTGACATCCTGTCTCACATTTTTTGTAGTAACGGAAGTGTAAAAGTTATATTTCGAGTCATTGTAAAAGTCTTGAAACCTTCAAAAGAGACAAGCGATGTTGTTGCCGTGAAAGTTGGTCGGAAAATTATTAAACAGTTAAAGACGGGTCGTATTGGTAACATCCTGGTCATTCCTGATGCCATAAAGCTCAACGGTAATACAATTTATTCCCCGAAAATCATAAGTAATTAATGAACTGCATGTAAACGATTCACGACCAGTGACTCAATCTCGAAATTCACTAAAAAACATGTGCATATAATTCAAGGCATTTGCAATGTACACATGTCAAATGAATATAATTATGTCACAAGCTATATACTAGCATTGTTAGTTTTGCCTTTGGTACAGGTCGTCGTACCTCTTTAACATTTAATTATCCCCAATACATGATACAAATGCTCGACACAAGTGCTCAACAAGTAACCCCTCCATTTAAGGGTTAGATAATTGTGAAGAAGGAAAATGGAGGACTTGGTAGCTGAAACCCTGACGTTGTAGAAACAACCTGACTCTAATTGTATAAGGTTCCAAGTATTTACCTTACTCAAGTTAGTAGTAAACACAAATCCAGAGATAAGGGAAAGCCCGTATTCGCAGGTCACGCTTTGTCACCCAGAAATTACTCTTTGCAAAACCAACCAAGAAACTATATTTGGTGCGCCTTTTGATCGGCCAACAAAAGTGTCTTGTAGGGCAACATTTATCCATCTAGCCAAACGTACTTGCCATCCATACACAAAATCGTAGCAATTAGCAAAGAATTTAAATCACATGACTGTATACATCTGTATATCTGAATGACAATGAAATAAATGTACGAGGAGAAAGTTAGTTTAGGGTATATAATTCCATCTTGATCCTCGTTTTTCGTTCTTCATGAAACGAGATTCTGACAGTGGTCTGTATATGAAAGTCAATAGTAAAATGAATAATTAAATAATTATTGATACAGTATTTTTCACAAGCTCTTGTTTGTGCTTTATCGCTATCTAGTTCCACCGCCTCCACCAGCCAACGTCACATATTCCGATGTAAGAGAAACAAGAGTACATATTTACTGGGACCCACCTGAACTTCATGAAATGTTCTCCATCGAGAGATATTACATTACGTATCTAAAATATGGCCAGAAGATTTGGTCGAATAACACCATCAATGGTGACCAATTAACCAATTTTCAAGTGGATAACTTGGAAAGTGATACATTTTACATTCTAAGGATAATTGCTGGGAATGAATATGGCCTTGGTAAAGAAAGCAAAAGAATGGAAATTAAGACGATGAAAGTTAAAAGTACTTTTACTATTACTATTACTATTACAATTACTATTACCAGGCGCGCCGGAGCTACGCGGGCAACGGGGGCAGCTGCCCCCGTTGCCTAAACATGCCTAAATGAAATTGGTTTGACGAGCGGTACGATAGCATGGTTTGTGTTTGAGCTAAAAGATGAATTAAGGAAGTCGGTCTTTGATTTTGATGGAGACGCTGAAGTGTTTTTAACCTTTAAAGTGAAGTGTTCAATATATCAGACATATAATAAGGGCTAATGCAAGAAAATACAAAAATATTGACAGTTTGTCTAATAAAACACGTCCTGCGAGTTTATTAATTAAACGACTCGAACACGACCAAAAATTCAATAGATATATACTGCCTTATTAGTATTCTTTATATAAAGAATACTAATGAGGACACGACCAAATATACAATAGGTACTGCCCTATTAGTATTCTTTATATAAATAATACTAATAGGGCCGTACCTATTATATATATAGTCGTGTCCTGATTAGTATTCTTTATAATTATAAAGAATACCAATTAGGAGTGTTTTATCAGGTTTAAAGCCACTGCACGTGACATATTATGGTTGACATGGTTTTCCAATAAGCTTATGAATTATTAATGAGTGTTTGAAGACAAATTAATAGAATGGTCAGAATATATAGAATACGAAAATATGAAAGTAGTAAATATATAATATAATATGACTGTAAATTATGGTTAATGGTTAATTTTATAAATGGATTAACTTCAATATATTTATAGTCCAATCTGACTACTATATTTTAGTTGTTTCACCATGGTACTACATTGGTCCTATCATTGCCGTTGCTTGTGTTACGTTACTGGTGACTATTATATGTTTGATGAGACGTGTTTCATTCAGTGGTGCTTGGAAACTTGTAGAAGATGGAAAACTCAAAACGGATAAAAAAGAAGCAAAGGTAAGTGTGCATAACTCAATGCCTTCGTTTTATTACATTTAATGACATGCATCATCGCAGTTTCTTTAGCATCATGAAAACATTATGACCAGCCGGCCCAAAAGAATGAGCATGCTCCAAGAGAAGAGTTCGAGTATGAACACAATGTGCTGAACAGTTATAGTAATAATAAGATTTATAAAACAGTTGCTCCATGTTGCGTGATTCTAACGTTGGTTCATTAATTACTTCAAATAAATTAGTACATACCACCAAACGATACAAAAGACAACCGAAATCACTACTTTCAGATGGGTTAGTGGTGTCATAATGTGCGTTACAGTCACCAATAAGAAAAACAAACCTATTTGGCTGAGTATAAATTTTGTCCAAACATGCATGTTTGCAAACTGCTACCCTCAATTTATAGAAGAGCAGTTTTTATTATCATCTATGTTTCATATTTAAGTGCATGTATAATAAAATATAGATTTTGATATCTTTAAGAGTTTTCACTACTCTTTACGTGATTCTGAACTGGTAGAAAAGAATATATTTAGAACCACTGTAATCTATGTGCGTTTTCGTATTTTAATCGTATAGTTGACTTATGGAACAATGTACCGCTGACGATTCGTAAAGTTGATAGCTATGGCACTTTGAGGAGAAACATCATTGAATATTACACAAAAAAAATCACGATAATGTAGATGTTTTTTGGGAAAATAATGTAAAATAGATTCAGTGGTATAATATAATTTTTTGATTTTTTATCATACAGATGAATTATTCATGTCAGGCAGATATCTTGTAAGGAACGTTTAGTTTGGTATAACTGTCCTTATAATAACATTTTTGTATTTTCGATAGGCCTATTCAAGAATGTTTAATTAAACTGAGTAAATAAATCAATAAATAAAATTAAAATATATAATTCTCCAAAATAAAACTTTCTCCCTTTTTCGGGTGTGGCAGGCTCTCTGGGATTTTGAAAATTATTTAACCATAACTATTCTACATATTTAACCATAACTATTCTATATATTCTACTCTATGTACGTCACAAAATTTGGAAAATATAACACTCAGTCGTACATGTTAGACTATGTACTTTCCTTAAAAAGATGCGGGGAGGAGGGGTCGGTATGGATAGAAATAATTTAACCTGTGTTGCTCTCCGGGCTACGTCTCTATGACTATGATTCGGAAGAGGGACTATTATGACAATAAGAGAAAAGTTTATCTATTTTAAATATAATCACTTTTTAGACCACTTTTCAAATGATGGAACGGAATAGACAAAATGAAAATACCTACATAAACTTGGCATTTTCAGCCTCTCTGGCAAACTCAGCATGGAAGGAAATTCTAAGAACATCAATTGAAATATCGAACGAAACACTAATTCCTGGTGAATTTGGCATTACAACTATACGAGGAACCCTTTCATGCCCCCATGAGAAGAAGAAAGAGGCGTGTTCTGTTAAAATGCTCAAAGGTAACTAAGATTAAATTAATTCAAAAGTGGCACGAAAAAAGTTAAGAATTAATACTCGTTGATAGAGTGAGCATCACAATCTATATATATATATATATATATATATATATATATATATATATATATATATATATATATATATATATATATATATATATATATATAAAAATCGGGAGCATACTTTGGGATGTGTCTAAAATTAGCGAAAATCGGCATATCAAATATTAACTCCAGCGTTTGTTTGCTTAATGACATATCAGGCTAACTTGTATTTCAACGAATTATCGTTAGGGTTTGTAAGGGATATATATGGCGTAGATTTAGACATCTTGCATGTAAGTCTTAGCTCATTGTTTCCTGAAATATGAACGTTCGGAATTATGCAAGTATTTAATTTTAGGTCTTTACAAACTTAAAAGTACATGAAAGACTGACCATGCATGCATGGAAGGCAGGCGCTTAAATATTTCTTAAATAGCCTAATTTTTTTATGTTTTTAATGGGTTCAAAAAGACTGAGTTGATTATTTCTCGGTTAGAGCAGGATGAATATTATTCTATATTGAAGGAAATAATATTGCTTTTTGCAAATACACAGCACCGTATCAACGCTACTATTTTGTTACGTTTTGTTCCAAAAATGTTGCATGTCTCTGGGGAGTTGCTTAATTGTTATGTCTTATGGAGTTATATGGTATTATTT